CTTAATGAAATTAAATTAATATATGTCATGGAAATCACAAAAAAAAAATGTTACTCGAAAGGTTAATTCCACGCTATTGCTCATGCGACAGCTAAACTACACTGGATACACAACTTGCTTCATGAACTCCACCAGCTCCTCACATGAAGCATCACGTACTCGGCTATTATTTTGATCACCAACTCATCCAAAGTTAGCAACTTTCATCTTCAACATATCTCTACGTATTTTTAACTCACCGAGGACCTTATAGAACCCATGTTTGCTACTCGCTACTCGACATTTCTCTTCCCTTTTCAAGACTTTTGCTCAATCGAGTAGGTAAAGATGAGTGGGTTGGATGGCACGGAGAGATTGGATTATATACGGGTACTTCAAATCGATAGTTTTGCGCTCTATTGCTACTGGTAGTCAACCTTGACTATCTCTATCTGACTTATTTCCTGCATTCCTACACTCAAATACTGGATTGGGTTTGGTCAATAGCCAGCCTCAACCTTCATACTCAACCACCATTAGACCATATGGTTTCAAAATTCCCAAATTTTAGGGCTAGAATTCTAAATCTAGCCCCTTCAAAAGTGTTTTTACATTAGTGGGGGGTCCAAAAGTCCAAAATTCCAGAATTTGACATTAACTCATAATCCAGTTTAGTGTATATTTCATAATTCTAATTACAAAAAAAATCATTATTTTTATATAGGTACTAATAATTAATTGAGAAGAGCATTTCGATAATTTTTTTTGAATTCTGACAAATAATTATAAATATGATGTAATCAATGACGAAAACAACATTATTGGTTCATATACCCATGAATCCATCACATGCTTGTCAGAATGAGTTGTGCCATCAAGTATTCATTCGACTTTAATCATAATGAATGGTGCCATCAACTGTTCATTCAGCTTTAATCACATTGAATTGTGTCATCAACTGTTCATTCAACTTTAATCATAATGAATTGTGTCAACAATTGTTCATTCGACTTTGAACATTGGTGTAGTAGGAATCGTATCGGGTTTCTATAAATGAACCACCAAACTTGGTCTCTGAACTCATCCACCATTCAACCTTCTTTATTGAAAAAATCCAATAATCCTCCATTCTCCTCTCTAGCCACCCAAAACTATTTCGCCTTAATGGATTCCCCTGACAGGGAAGTTTATGAGAAGGAAAGAGAAGCTGATGACAGGCAATGGGAGTACGAGTGTCACCTTGAGCGTGAACGCATGGAGATGTTCACGATGTACGTGAACCATCATCACCAACATTAAGCAAGTAGATCTCGTGGCAGTTCATCAACACAAAAAAACAGTGAGACGTAACAAGGAAGACGGTCACAGGCAATGCGTAGATTTTGACTACATTTGTAAGGGAAAATCACGAAGTGTAAACCGTAAGCTTTTAAGTTTTAAAGCGTAGATTTTGACTACATTTGTAAGGGAAAATCACGATTCTACATAGAAGCATTTTGGTGGCCTAAAAAGGTAAAAGCATAAGCTTTTAAGTTTTAAAGCGCGATTTTAACTGCATTGGTCACAGGTGCTTGATGCAAGACTACTTCAACCCAAATCCAACCTACGATTCTAAGGCCTTCACAAGGAGATATCGGATTCCCCCTGGCTTATTCAACCGATTCATGAACGATGTTGTTCAATATGATGACTACTTCAAGCAAGGAACACATGTTGTGGTTCGCGACTCATTCTCCCCACATCAGAAGCTTACTATTGCGTTCTGCATGCTTACCTATGGATGCTCGGCAGACTCTTTGGATGAATCCTGTCAAATGGCTGAGAGCACTGTACTGTTGTGTCTGAGGAAATTATGTTCGACTATCACCAATATTTATAGTGCTCAACACTTGTGTGCACCAAACGTAGATGATACTCGTCGCCTCCTTCATCATGTTGCACAGCGTGGCTTTCCAGGTATGATTGGTTCTATTGACTGCATGCACTGGGAGTGGAAGAATTGTCCAACTGGGTGGGCAGGCCAATATACTGGACACAAGAAGAAACCACCATTGTCCTCGAAGCTGTGGCGTCGTAAAACACATGGATTTGACATGCCTTCTTTGGAACTCCTGGATCGAACAACAACATCAACACTTTGGAAGTGTCCCCATTATTTGATCACAATTCGAGGATTGGTTCCCATGGTCAATTATGAGGTAAATGGTAAAACGTATGATCAATGTTATTACTTGGATGATGGAATTTATCCTGAGTGGGCTACATTTGCAAAGACTATTAGCAATCCAAGTAACCAGAAGAAGAAGTTGTTTGCAAGGTGTCAAGAGGCTTACCGGAAGGATGTTGAGAGGGCCTTTGGCATACTTCAACAAAGATTGGCCATTGTCAGGGGCCCTAGTCGTCTTTGAGATGTTCAAGCACTTGGTAATATCATGTTAACCTGTATTATTATGCATAATATGATAGTGGAAGATCAATGGTACGAGTATGGGGATGGGGAAGAGGTGAACATTAAGTACGAGAGTAATCCAAATGTCACATGGCAGCCACCAGAACATAACATTCCTACTCTCATGGATTACATGGCAAGGCATAATTGGATTTGTGATCGATAAGGACATCAAACATTGCAGAACGACTTGATTGAGCATTTGTGGACCATACATGGAGGAGAGTAGTCATGGGGGGTGTCGAAATAAAGAAAGTGGTCTAATGTATTTCCTAATGTATTTTATATATTTACTTGATGTATTTCCTTTGTTTTCCTAGGGTATTTTCTATATTTTCTTGATGTATTTCCTTGTTATGTTGATCTATCTCCTTGTTATAAGCCAATAAAGAAAGTACGTGCATTAGCAATTGAAGGAAATCGTGCATAAAACATAAATCAACTACATGAAAATTACAATGAAAACCGTACATCAAACATACCACTACTACATGAAAATTACACGATAAAAGCGTTCATCAAACATACCACAGTACTACATAAAGATTACATATCCAGATCATCTTAGTAAGAAGCCACAATGTCATCTTTTTGTCTCTGATACCAAGCCCGAGATCGAGGACTCATTTGAGAAAGATCATTATTCATTACCATCGTCTCATGCCTATTTTTCTCCCTTAATTCCCTTGCTCTATCCCTTGCGTCTCTTTCAACTTCACGTTCCTCTCTAGCGAGTGTTAGCCTCATGTGTGTGTGTTTGAATAATAAACCAAATTGGTCATATTCTTGTCCCAACTTTCCGAGGAAGAATATGGATTTCCTCTGTTCTTCTTCTCTTGCTTTTCCCGACATTCGAGACGATTGATCACAAATGGAGTAGCTTGAACGTCGGGGCTATCACTCTCACCAGATGGTAAGTCCGATGAAGATCCACCCATTGGTCGAATGGGTGGCACCGGAAAAGTAAATTGTTGAATAAACTTTGGACAATGTTGATAAATCTCCCAACAATGTTGCAAATGTAAAGGCTTTTCGATGTCTGCCTTGTAAATTTCGTTAGCTCGTTGAACCTATACGATTTTAAAAATTATTTTTAAATAATATGAACAAGCTAATTAATTAACAAATTAATTTCATAATAATTCTTAATTGTACTTGACTCACCACATCATTGAGGATTTCTCCACTCATTAGTGTCATGCTTGCTCTCCTCGATGTTGCATTCCAAGCACCACAATACTTGATTACGGTCTTCCATCGATTTTACAGGTCGTCGTCAGGACGTGAAATCCCTGTGCTTATCTTGACAAATATGACCCCAACACGCCTCCAAAATTCACTTCATGGCTGATGATGACCGACAGAACCGTCTTCCAAAATTTCAATCCATCAGAGTCCTTCCAATTCAGCGAACGATTGCTTTGAGACATAATAAGACGTTTGAGAGGAAGATTTTTTTTATGGGAAGATGATGAGTATCAGAATTGATAGAGAATTGGGAGGGGAAAATGGAAGTGATGAACTAGAAGTGTGAGGATTGGTTGTATTTATAGAGAAATTTGGCAAAAAACTAGTTGTGGGGGCTGGAAGAGCCGTTGGGGAATAGTATGGGTGCTGAAAGGTATTTTTTTAATTAGACAACGGCTCTATTAAAAGGAAGGGTTGTGCCTGACGCGTGTAAGGAATGAAGGAGCAGGGTTGGCAGAGCGCGCCTGCCGCTTAACACCCCCCCCCCCCCCGGACGTGTGTAGTTTTTTTCCCATGTGCCCCATCCAGAATTTGGATTTTTTATCAGTTTCTGGTCCAAATATGGCCCCAAAATCTAGCTCGTACTAGATTTTGGAACTATGGAACCCCACTAAAGCTGCTTTGGTCCATTTTTTTGGCTTTTTGGACCTGAACTAAAGTTGGTCTTAAAATACAACAGGCAAACGACCCCTCCTCAAAAGAAGTTAGCTAGACATCCTATAGTCAGTGAGATGACAATGGGGCGGGTTTGTCTAAACCATGTTAATCTCCGTTTTCAAATACCCAAACCCATACCCGCCCCATACCAATGCGGGGGAATGTTTTGCAAAACTATCCCCATACCCGTGGGTTTCAGGTACCAATAGGTAATACCCGCCCCATACATCCAACATTATTATACCTAAAAATTTACAAGAAAGTTTTTAATTATAACACTAAATGTACCTACTATATCATGACGTCAACAAAACACAGTCATTTTCTTAATACAGTTCAAGGAATATGATCCAAAAACATCCATTAAAACATAATATAGAGTATAATATTTTCCAAATTATTATGCTCAAACTTTTGATATATCTACTAGAATTAAGAGAAATGAATTAGGTTTTGATTAGAATGTTCACTCAATTGCATTATCATTGATAGGATACAATTTGATTCCACATATTTTTAGCCTTTTTTTTATGTGAAGTTCTCTTGGTGGGGCGGGTATGGGTATGGGGTGGGGGAGGCTAAAACCATATCCGCCACATACCCGTCAAACGGGGATTTCCTGCGTTTACCAGGTTGGAAGCGGTCGGATACCCGCAGCCATGAGTTTGATTGCCATCCGTAATAGTTAGAAACAAAACTCAAACAGCCTCATCGCCCTAAAAGAGTGAATAAAAGTGAGGCCGAAACTTTAGTTCTTAAAATTAGACAGCATGCTGCGCCAAGGATTACAAGAAAAGTATGTCTATCACAAAGAGCCCGAGAATCTGGTTTTGAAGAGTTGATAAGATAAAAGTTAGCTTTGCTGGTGAAACAAATCACAAATGATACACCTTGACAGTGTCGAATGATACACCAAATTCATCCGTCTACAAACTATTTCCACTTCCAACTAGAACCCCCTAGTCTAATCACCTCTTCGCCGCCGTCATTATCTCTTATAGGACCCCTTTCCGTTGCCGCGTCACCTTTTTTCTCATCACTCAGATCGCCATACAGATCCTTTAGTTTCGCAAGATGGGTGGAGGTACTTATCTTCTTCTCCTTGTTCTCCTCCCGATCAAATGTTGTGGGGACTCCTCCCTGCATGCTTCGACTTCTGCTCCTGCTGCGACTCCGACTCCTACTCCGACTTCTATGACTACCGCTGCTGCGATCCCTGTGATATCTGCTATCATCTCTGCTGCTCCTTTCATAATCCCTTCTACTTTCTCGGTCACCATAACTGGACCTCCGGTCATAATCGTACCGCCTCTCCCTATCTCTGTTTCTGTCTCTCTCCCTATCTCTGTCTCTGTCTCTATCCCTTTCCCTGTCCCGGTCCCTATCTGAAAGGTCTCTGTCACGGCTCTGGCTGTGACAGCTGCTGGGAGATCTACGCTGATCGTTGGTACTTCTCTCATATGCAACAGGTGGTGGTAGTGTTCGGCGAACAGGTGACGAGTCCCTAGTTGATGCACGGTGTGGAGCACGCTGACCAAATGAAACTGAAAGTGCAGCCTTCACAGAAGGCGGCCGACGAGCAGTTTCCTCCGAGCCATGGCGGCTATTATCCCCTGTTGAGCCTGATGATTTGGCGGGGAGTTTCATCTTTTCAAGATTAGACACCACCTGACGCATGACAGGGACAGGAACTCGGGGGAATAGGGTATCAAAGTAGTACTGCAGAAAATAGTTAAAATCGTATTCATTACATAATTCTGCCTCAGCATGGGATTATGATTCGAATGGAATAGAATAGAGGTGGAGGGTAAAGTAACCTACCTGTCCAAGGATCAGATCGCGAACATAAACACCCATGGTAGTTTTCCTTCCGCTGGATCCTGGAGAAAATTCCTAGCATGAAAGTACGAAAAAAAGGTAAGAACAACAAGATGCTCTAGCACAAATAAAAAATAGTAGCTCTAAGTGATGAAGTCATGATGCAAGTAATTAAGAGAGCTGGTACAAGCAAAGCAGAAGGCAAGTGCATATGTTCCTGAACATCCTAAAGGGAGGTTCTAGAGTTTTCAGCAAGGATCGGGAAACTCTAAGTGAACGAGACACTAAATAATTATTCAGGAAAGAAGCTCTTCAGCACATTACACTATCATCAATTCACGATGTAATATGAGTCATCTGGCATTCCTTTACCAGCTTTTGGAGTTGAGGACTTGGCAACATGCCACATGATTGATATGAAGTTGCCATTCCGAAATCAATCTTAAGCTATGGTTAATTGGCAGTTGAACAATAAAAACATAATGTTCTCTGCAACCTCGGCCACTTAAAAAAAAATGTTCTACCAAGTATCTTATGAAATAAGGCTAACAGAATCCTCTGCAAGGCAAGTGACAAGGTGAAACTGTAACTCAAAAGGGAAACATTAATCTAGTAGTTAGTTCAAATTATAACAGGAATCAAGGATGGCTGCACACTTTCATATTCAAGAAATAGCAGCTAACAATTATCCACGTTTCCTAAAATGTCTGTTTAGACATCAATGTCACATTTGATAACCTCTTAGATAAACTCAATCATGTATTGACAAAATCCAAGCAGAAACGGAAACATTCATATCAAGATTGTCACAAGAAAGTACCTCATCATCTTCAATATATGGTTCATACCAGTTCCACAGTGTCTTAGGATCTGCAGCATATCTCAAGTACAGGAATCCAATCTGTAATCAAATTACAAGATACCAATTACACAACAGCTAAAGTAAACATGAAGTATGTATCTGCTACATGATACACTTATGCTGCAGCAGACCATCAAGTATAGAGACGTTAGGATATCCAATTAATATAAGTGAATGCCATAAGCACATATGCAGGAGAAAGTCTCACAATTACTTAGTCTCAAGTGAACATGAGCATTAATTGATCCAGCTGACAAAGAGACAAATTTCAGGTTCTTGGTTTACACATGTCTGGAGTTAGCAACAGCAGATAGATTAGCAAGATGCTGGCCGAAAATAACAGATGGATTGATTAACCATTAGAAATTTTTAAGAGTGAGAAGAAGACAGACTCTCCAAACCTTGTATTGTGAACATCTGCTCAGCGTAACAATGGCAGCATTATGCAGAGGTGAGAACATCTAATCAACTAAAAGAAAGAAGGTCAATCTGGAGGTACATAATTAGCTAGGTGGAACAAGAACATGATCTGGCTTGCCAATGCATAATATCAAGAAAAAGAATGTGTTTGCCTTAGCAGGTTTTTTGTTCCTCACCCTTCCAACACAAAATAGCTAGATAGGTCGTTGTGTATTCTGAACAATTACAAGTACCAGTTACTTGTCATGGAACATAACGGTCTGGTGCTTGGGATGAAAAGAAAAATGTAAGGGTTAGAAGAATCCACCCAGAAAAGAAAACATGCAAAATGGATGAGAATTGCAACAAATCGTTCACCATTTCCATTATAGAATGACTATCAAATACGCCATTCACTAAGGACTCATTAATCAAACAAAAAACATAAACAGAGAACTGGGGACCAAATTTATTAAACTGTAACTCGTCCCATTAAATACTCTGATTGCAATATAGTGGCACGAGGTATCTACAACCTTGTCAGGCTAATGGTGGAATGCTAATGACCCAATACTAGTGTCAGCTTGAGTTAAAACGTTCCTACACCCAAATGACTTACATTCTATAGAGGTTTCTGAATCAACTAGGCTGCTAAAAAGTTCCCACACAAAATTGACTTACATTCTATTGAGGTTTCTGGATCAACTTAGGCTGTTATCAAAAGTTGAACCCAGGGAACTTCTACATATCCTTACCAAACAGGACCATTAATGTGACTACAGTGCTAACTTCTTCAGCTTGTCCAATTAATGAAGTCAGCACAAAAGGGTAGCTTCATAAAAAAAAAATATATGAGAACTGGGTTCTGCTATGAATCCAACTTAAAGTGAACAACCGGGTTGACCATGTAAACCAAATAAATGAGAGGAGAAGGTGTAGTCCCTCAGAGACAGCAACTAAGATAATAACATTAGTTACTACTGTAAGTACTCACAGTGTCTAAATTCAAGCATAGGCGTCTATCCTACTGCGCTCTCTTACCATTACAAAATCTTATTTCAAGAAACATTTTAGCATTGTGGTCCAGCGGTATCACAAGATCAACCCTTTTGATTATGCATCAGACTGTGCATAGGATAAATTATAGGAATTCAAATCATTCGGCAATTCGGAATTCTAACCAGAAAACAATGGGAATAGCAACATTACCGCTCTAATATAAGGTGAATCTTTGTGCTTTAATAGGCCGTGCATCTGCTTGACTGTGAGTTTCATGGTAAAAAACTTGTATAGAAGACAAAAGGCTGTTGACGGCCCACGACAGTTCCCCGTCATCCATGGTTCCACATGGTCAACTTGATTGTAAATTTCATCAATCACTTCATGGTACGTCTTTAGCCTGTAAAGCTCTTTGAAATAATCCGAAGAGAGAATGTTCATACACAGGACCCTCTCCAAAAGCGAGTCAATCGGCTTGCCGCTTGTTTGTACCTCCATCTTTCCTGATCACCCAAGTTACCTATAGATACAAAACAAAACCAAATAAGCAATTATCGTCATTGAGCAACATCAGGAAAGCAAAATGCCTAAAACAGTTCCCACGGTGCCCAATCGCAATTGGCACAATAAAAGGCATTTACCCCCATACAGCACTAATCGGCAACAAAAATTCATATGGTGCTTAAATTACTTGGCATCCGCCAAGCTTTTAAACTAAAGCTATGGAATGCGCAGCGAAGGTTCGGAATTGAAAAACCCTAATTGTAACCTACAACGTAAATCTCACCAGCTCAAGCAGCGCCCTCCCTCGTGATCCTCGCTAAGGAGAAGGACAAGCTAGGTTAGAGGAGAGAGCAGATCTGGTGGATGCGGCGCTGAGGCTGTGCAGAAGAATGATTCGGGAGAAGATAGAGGAGCGTCAAAAGAAGAATCCACAGGGAAAATGAAGGCTCGGAACTTCGAGACCGATGGTGAAGGGAGAGGTGGCTTAAATTGCAGATTCAACGGCGTAACCCGTATAAGTTAGAAGCTGGTGATCTAAACGACAGCGTAAACATATTGGACGATGGTTATAGGTTTGACCAAGGTTGGTCAATCCACGGGTCGACCCCGGTTGACTCGGCCTCGCCCACACAAACGGACTACAAGCACCCATTGTAGCATCTAGGGATGGCAATTACCCACCCATGGGTAATTTTACCCAAATCCAAATAAATCCATTTAGTATGGGTAGGATTTGGATGAAGTGTATATGGGTTTGGGGTTTGTAGATGGGTTTGGGTTAGGTATGGATATTGCTTTCATAATGTAAATGAGTATGGGTTGGATATAGATATTCATTTACTTGAGGGTGTTTTAACTACAGACACAAAATTGGACCTATTTGTAAAACTTGAAAAGTTTAGGTACCAAAATGTAAGACCAAAAAAATTTAGGTGCCAAAATATAATTTTCCATAAATAATTTGAGGACTTATATGCAAAAAAATTAAATTTATGTACTAAATATACATATCTATTAAGTTTAGGTACCAAACTGTAATTTGCCTTTGGGCATGGGTACAAACCCAAATTCATGTGTTAAAAACCCAACCCAACCCAAGTAAATGGGTATGGGTACAAATCCATCAAACTCTACCCATATACCATTTATTTGGAATCCATACCCAACCCAATTGGGTTGGATAGTAAAATACTCATGGGTATGGGCAAAATTGTCATCCCTACTAGCATCCGCCTATGGCAACCTATTCAAATCCGGGAAACGCGGACAGTTGGCCCGATAGAGTGGGTCGGCGGGCTTGGCCCTATGTGGCGCTGTCTAGTAAACCGTTATTCATAACGGTCAACGAAATCGTCAAGACATAAATGACACAACTATCATACGTCAGGATATTTTTGGAATATTGAATAGGTGGTGACTTAAATGAAATTCTTTATAGTTCGAATTTTGTAGTAGTATTAGCTCAAAAAGATAAGAATTGACATGGGAGTTGATAAAGGAGGGAAAGCGACAAAAGAAAAGTGTTCCTCCACCCCAAGTGCTATAGAAGGTCGAGCCCTTCTAGTGTGCTCTATAGCACCCATGCTATAAAAAACAAAAAAAAAGTGACCTGTTGAGGAGGTAAACCCACTAAATGACTGGTCCCACATCATTAATGGCAATCTTATAAATAATGAATCAATGTATACAAGTGTAGGTAGAAATTAGAGTTGTACCATATCGTATAGGTACAAGTTTCAGCTGTACCATTGAAGAATTTGTTTCACAAAGCGTAGGTACAACTTAAAGTTGTACCATTAGTATAGGTACAATTTTGAGCTGTACCATGAAGGGATTTATTAGAAAGTGTAGGTACAACTTAAAATTGTACCATGTTATAGGTACAAGTTTGGGTTGTACCATAAAAGAATTTTGAGAAAGTGTAGGTACAACTTAAGGTTGTACCATTAGTATAGGTACAATTTTTAGTTGTACCATAAAGGGATTTGTTAGAAAGTGTAGGTACAACTAAAAGTTGTACCATTAGTATAGGTACAATTTTGAGTTGTACCATAGAGGGATTTGTTAGAAAGTGTAGGTACAACATTAAGTTGTACCATAGTGTATAGGTACAATTTTGAATTGTACCATAGAAGATTTTTAGGAAAGTGTAGGTACAACTTTAAGTTTAGTGTAAAGGTACAACTCTAGAAAGTGTAGGTACATCTTAATTCCACGGCTGTTATTTTGACAAAATGAGCTGTGAGAACGTTTGAGTGGCAGCTGTGTGTTTCAATTGAATGTGAGATTTTGACGGGCGTGACAATGTCAAGTAGTAGCTGTGAAATTTCCTGGGATAGTGAGAACTGCTCTTTGCATCTCACGGGACATCTCACGGTCGTGATATTTGCCTGAGGAATGAAGCACTGCTTTTTACATCTCACTTGAGTATTTTACGGTCGTGAGATTACCAGTATAAGGTGTCAGATTTCCAGTAGGAGACTTTCACCTGTGGAACTATCCCATGTACTTATTATAATGTTGTTTCAAACAGAATGGACTTTTTTCCAGAACTCCAAACTTATGAAAAAGATGATTCATAATGTTCTCTAAAGCTTGACACGAGCATTACATAGATCCATTCACAATGTTCTCTAGTAACTGTACATCATATCAGATGAGATACCCTGTTAACAAAAAGTAAAAAGTAGTCAAAGCATTACATTTGTCTTATAAAACAAGCATCCATAACACGATTAAATTTATCTAATTAATGCTTAAGTTTAGATGCATGTAGCCCACACTGGTGCATCATCATATTCTAATTGGAAAACATACAAGCACAAACGCAAACACACATAGCTAAGTACTAAGGACTTTGGTTGGCTCATCTTCACTGCCCATCTTTCTCGTTAGTGTTCTTGTCATCGTCTTTGTTTTCCTGGATTTGCTCATCTTCATTGTCCTCGCTAGAGTCACTGCCCTCTTCCTCATTGGTGTCATTGTCCTCTTCACTGCTTTCCTTGTTTTGTTCATCGTCGTTGCCCTCGTCGTCCTCTTCACTGCTGTCTTCCTCATTGGTCCCTTTGTCCTCTTGATTTTTTTCCTTGTTTTGGTCATCGCCATTGCCCTCGTCGTCCTCTTCACTGCTGTCTTCCTCATTGGTCCCTTTGTCCTCTTGATTTTTTTCCTTTTTTTGGTCATCGCCATTGCCCTCGTCGTCCTCTTCACTGCTGTCTTCCTCATTGGTCCCTTTGTCCTCTTGATTTTTTCCCTTGTTTTGGTCATCGCCATTGCCCTCGTCGTCCTCTTCACTGCTGTCTTCCTCATTGGTCCCTTTGTCCTCTTGATTTTTTTCCTTGTTTTGGTCATCGCCATTGCCCTCTTCGTCCTCTTCACTGCCCTCTTCCTCATTGGTGTCATTGTCCTCTTCACTTCCCTCTTCATTGCTTTCCTCGGTTGGCCTAGGAGATAGTTCCCAAGGTCTTGAGAATTTTTTGTAGTCAATCCTCAAGGACCTCATGATCTGATGGTTGCATTCGATGATGTAGCGTCGAGCTTCCTTCTCTCGATCGAGGCGGGAGAGAATGAGTGCATTTTGCTCCAGAATTTGGGCATTCTGCCGACCCAATGCCTCAAAATGGGATATGTAGCTGTCGGTGGATGGTTCGAATCAAATATACTATCAATCTTACCACTTTTGTTAACAATAACTCCACGTCTCCGCTCCCCCAACTCATCAAATCCAAACTCCGATCAATGGTTTGGAAAATACCATTTGCATGCTCCAAGAATATTAACTACAAAAAAAATACTATAATCAACATGATGATTAATCATTACAAATATGTAGAAAGTCGGGATTAGCAATTATTTACCTCCAAAAACAGCAAGCAACCTGGTATATACTCTCTCCTATAAGCATTATGGTCGCAGATGCCTTTGACCAATTCATTGAAGCAAAATGATGCTCAATTCTTCTTCGGAATGTCTGCAACATCGGTGACAGCGTATAACGAAGACAAGGAAATGTCATCTCTTCTAGTTGGTACTAATAGCACCCCCATTACGTACAAAATAAACGTTTGAAGAAATAGATCGCTGCTATCTTTCATCTTCGACAACGCCTTCTGCATTAAGCTTGTTGAAATCACCTGTCGGCCACAATCACGTGTCGAATACACTCTAAATGGTTCCAGTTCCTCCGATCTTCCTCCCACTTCTTCACCATTCAAGATGATATCAGTACCTCCCTCAGGCACGCCCATAATTCGCTCGAAATATGCACTTCCAACCCATACGCCTTAATTGTGCTTTCTTCCAGATTAAAGCTCTTCAAAAGTTTCTCCAACAACTCACGTTGTATCTTTCTTCCTTTGACTTCAAGAATATGACCAAAGCCACATCTCTTAATGGCCTCTGATTGACAAGCCTCTAAATTTGAGACTAGTGAGAATACTTTCCTAGGAGAACATCGCGTGCTGAAAATTTGATGCCTCTTCGTCTTCATTATAGAACAATTTTAGCAAACTGCAAAATTAAAACAACAGAAAAATTATAAGCATGCCTTGAAACACGAATTATAAGCATGCCGAAGAGTACAAACAAAATACAAGTTCTAACTACCAGAAGAACTGAAAACCCCCTACATCAACACCTGAGTACACTAATTAACCATGAAATCCGCCATTGGCATATATAAATTTCACCCAAAACACCCCGCTTTCATTACATTTCACCCAAAATGCAAATTCTCACGGCCGTGACATGACCCGTGACAAGCAAAGAGTAATTTTCATATCTCCAGACAATCTCACGGCTTTGGCTTCATAAATCACGGCCGTTAAAATAAGCCGTGAAACTCAAAACACCCAGATTTCACTAAACATTCTCACGGCTAATTCTGGAAATTTCACAGCCGTAACATCTTTTCATGAGATAAGCAAAACAGAAGAAAAGGTTTAACCATCTATTCACATGCGATCTTACCAAGCAAAAGGACAAGGTTTGTCCCCGATCAAATCGTATAATCATCTATTTTCAACTATAGTGACCAACTTGTTTCTATAAAACCAGTACAAACAAATATAGTTGGGTATTTCTAAGAAGAAGAGCTGCATATGCTCAAATCTAAGTTTCAAAATAAAGGCTGTGAAGCTTGTTGATGTATTCAGAACTACTATTTGTTTGCAATTATGGCTTTAGCTTATGGTTGTTCTCATTAGTCATTTTAGCTACCAGATTCATATCATATCTAAATCCAAGGCTAGTTCAAAAAACAGATTTCAGAGATTGTAATAAACAAACAAAACGGTTTAACCTGGAAAATCAGATACCATGCCCCTGTTCTTTTCTTCTGTTTTGTTTTAAGGCTCCCTTCTACATCTAAACCCGCCCCTGTTCTTTTGGACAAAAATCAGAAACCACACACAACTTACAACTTTTGAGAGCTAAATAACATGACCACGAGCATAGCCACTAAGCTTTCCATAACCCATGACACCACCATAAACACTCGCTCTATTTCCATCCAAACTGGCTAAAACTGAAGTCACCCTGATTTCATGAAATAGTTCTTGACTAACACACTCAATTGCACCTTTCATGCAGCCAAGCAAGACCCTTCAATTAACAGTCCAAAATGTAATCAACAAGCAACGGTAACGACACTACAAACTGAAAAGAATCAAACTTTGAGTATGAACTTTCCTATTCGATTTGCCTCCATAAAACACAAATCAAGTCTCTCCAATCAAAAAGTTAATACTGGCATGCATAAAGGAAGGAACACAATCGGTAGCTAGATCAGATTGGAGCAACTTTTTTTTAGATCACGCATGGTTGAGATTGCATCACAATCTTGCACCAAGGTTCACTTGATGAATCACGGCATAACCTATCAATTGCATCGCAATCTTGCTCTATTAGTAAACTGAAGTACTAATCACATAAACGTAGACGGAGCCAGCATTCAAACGAAATAAAAAGCTCAAATGAATGCAAAGAATCACATAAGACTAATGCTTTAGTTCACATCAACACAAAAGCTCATGCAAAGAATCACAGAAGACAAATGCTTCGATTACCCTTTTCTAGAATACATCCACACAACAAGCATACTACAAGTAGTTGCTAGCTTAACCACAATGGGAACATGATTAGGACTCCTCTCCCAGGGCTCACAAAGACAAGATGAATCGCATGCTTGGAATGACGATTATGTAACTCAAAAAGGCAATATCTCTCTCGACACGTGCAACTCACACCGATTTTCCAAGTGAAATAGAGTTTCCATTTATGAAAAAGTAAAAAAAAAGTTTCCAAAACTAATTTATGATATCATTTTCATGAGATGGCATTTAGCTATGGTGGAAACCACATAAAGAACACATGATCTTTGCTTGGTTCATACATGCTATTTCCTAGGCTCTTTCACCAAGTGTGAGTTTTCTTGGTGACAAACATTTTCCTCTTTGGTACATGATTAGATTGTTCACTACCCAGCAAGGCAACCACAACCATGCACAACTCTCCCTTCAAGCTTCAATGTGTAAATCGACTCACAGACGTAAAAGTAAGATTCGAGATTGTTCAGAAAGCAGTAATTTACGTATGTTACAAAAAAAATGTCACGGAAGATCGGAGATATTGATAGCTCTAAGACCACTGAGTCGTTTGTTGAGGTTAGTTCCCCTGATAAACTCGAAACAGTATCTGTCTAGGGATGTATAAAACTCATTCCCGGCCTTGAGGCCTGATATGAGAAACTTAAAGAAGCAAAATTGACTATGAATTAACTCTATAAACAGCAAAAACCCTGAAAATAACTCGAACTCTAGTGGGATGTGGGAGATAAAAATTGACTATTAAGTAAACTCTACAAAACCATTCCTTACATCCCTAAAACCCAATCAAGACCAAAGAACTAAAGAAGCAAGCAGAACAACCCCAGCACAGTTATTCTCTTCAGTTTGAAAGCAAAGGCAACAACGAAATGAACAACCCCAGCACAGTTTATGGGATTATATAAACCAAGACAGCTTCCTAGTTGACACTGAATCCTCCATTCACAAATACCTCCTAGGTCACATCAACGATCTGTGTGAGGAATGAAGTTATATGGTGGATGGCCACAGCTATTTGCACAAAAAAGTGCAGACTTTCTGAAGCTTCATCAATCACGGAATGACTAAAGATGCCCCCATCTCAATCAAACTCGGCCGTGACAAATACAGCACAACCAAGAACTACACTTGAGAGAGCTTCAATACTCATTGCACAAGACGTTAAAGCTAAAGAGATAGACAAACCAAATCACAGAAGAAGACACTGGAAAAGATGGAGCACATCAGAATTCCCACTTCACACAACTGATAAAACCGAGAGAGGGAAAGGAATATCGCATCTTATATCACCATATCCAATTGAGAATGCACATGAAGAAAGCAGTGGAGAAGCTTCAATTTCAATCCCAAATGGTTACACAGAATTGAGAAATTCTCTCTTCTACTTCCATAGTTCAATCTGGTTAAACGAGCATGGAATTTCAATCCCCCTACCGAAATTTGTAAATCTAGAACATCCCAATATAATCCCTAAACTGATAGCCATACTAACCGGAAAATTGAATAAAATTGTAGAACTGTAGGCATACTAACCGGAAAAAGTTGCGGTGGAGGAGGTAGGTCAGCGGTCTTCGTTTGCTATCGATGGGAAGAGGGGGTTCTGTGCAGGGTCTTCGTTTGCTATCGATGGGAAGAGGGGGTTCTGTGCAGGGTCTTCGTTTGCTATCGATGGGAAGAGGGTCTTCGTTTGCAATCGACGAAGAGATGCTCGCTCTCGTCGTCCCCTGCTCGCCGCCTTCACTGTCGTCGTCGGAATCCGGCTCGCCGCAGTCAAAGAGATGCTGCAATCGACAAGCTTCTTCTACTCGTCGTCACCCACTGCTCGCCGTCTTCACTGTCGTCGTCAGAATCTGGCTCGCTAGCTGCGTGGAGAGGATCGAAGGAAGAGGATCGAAGCAAGAGTAAACGGCGGTGAGAAGAAGTGAGAAGAAGGTTGCGTGTAAGAAGAAGGTCGTCGTCAGAATCAGACAACCGGTTGTACCGGTTCTCCACCCACAAATAAAATAACATATTAATAATTTAAATAAAATCTATGGTTGATATAGTTTGAACATAATCTAATGGCTGTAAATGTTTTATAGCACCAATACTATAAAGCACACTAAAATGCCTCACAGAAGGTCAGATAGGAAAGTCGGTCTGTTTTAGGAAGAATGATTGGGTTTTTTCCGAAGATCATATATATTTTTATGATTATATTATATTTTGTGGAACTTCTCTATCTTCTTAGCTTCGTATTGTACATGGGAGAGGAGGTGTTCTTTGTAAAATTAATGTCAATATGAGCATCGTGTGAACATTCATTGTAAGTGATGGGCATTATACCATTAATGAAACTAGGGTTACGGTGCAAAACTTGTACTTTAAGGATTGTCCAACCCTACTTTAGGATTTGGGGGGTGACTCGTTAGCTACTCAACTACTTATCCCAACCGACAAGTGCAAACCAACGATCGTGTGTGGTATAGCGAAAGTAAGCTTTAATTATCAAACCGGGCTTCAAATCTACTATTACTTTGTGAACTATATTGTTATCTAGCAAACCAAGGATTGAATTAAACTATCAACTACAAAGCACAGCAAGTAAAGTTTGATTGAAATCTAATCCCGTTTGGCAAGCTCACCTAGCTACAAATTAGACCGATGATTGACGTTCCAAGCTTGCCAACTCAAGATTTATACCGCAGAGAATTCTAATCCCGTTTGGACTCCCTCTCGATTTATTCAAGCTCACCTAGAATGGACTATCCGAAGGGAGAATTTCCACATCCGAAAAAATAGAACAACTAGGGTATGCTAAAATAGAACATTGTAGTCCGATTTCATACTCGGTCCATCGACCCACTGTTATTAAAGCCGACCCGAGCCGGTCGGTCGGACCGGTAAAACCGGCACCCGAACGCCAGCTCGGGTCGGAACCCTCTAATAGCCGTAACAGTTAGGAAGGTCGGTTTTTGAGCGGTCGGAATGGTTAACCATTCAAACCGCTCGAACCGTCCGACCGGTTTTTCACTCCTGACCCGTCCGTCCATCCACTATTAAAAAAAAATTGAAGGATTGATGAAGACGCGAAGGCTGCGCCGAAGCAGCTCTCCCAGCGACGATGGACACCCGCTGCCGGTGAAGCCATAATAGCTTCTCCTTCTCTAGTCGTCCATCGATTGCTCCCCCTCCCTTGTTCTGGACGCGAGCACAGCCAATACCGCAACAGCTCCGCCGTCGATTGGTCTCCAGCAGAGTGATAGCGGAGATAGAGTAGACAACATAGTGATTTGTGGTGATGGAGTTGGGAGCGGCGCAGTAAGGGGAACAACAGAACAAGTAAGAAGAAAGAAGATGGGGCGGCTGTGTAGAATGGGGGTAGGGTTTTTTGAGTGGAAATATATTTAATGTAAAATTACTAAGTGGTATCTAAAAGGTAAATTTTATTTTAGTCATTAAATTGTTAACTTACTACCTTATATGTCATCTACTTATGATATTATCGTTTATAAGGTACCAGTTCTTTAACGATTTTTAAACGATCTAATAGCGGTTGGACCACTAAAGTGCGGGCCATTCATGTTACCGGGTCATTCTCCAGTTCGATTTTGACAACATTGCATCGACCTACAATGAAGAATATAGAAACTGCTCTAATCAACCTAATAAGATATACCTTAGGTTAATAGCAATAATTGGTAAGTTTGATCAATACACAAACCACATACATGAAATACTTCAAATCTATATATAATCGAGAGTTCAAACAAGCAAATGAATCACTCAATCATCTAAATCTAACATACATGGCTATAGTTCTACAACACCCAAGTGAGATTGGGTTTAGCTCAAAGGGAGAGAAAGAGAGACAAACACAAATTCAAGAGAAGAAATCATCATTGGGGAGTAGGTTCCTCCTCTTAATTTTCAATCTCCAACCCTTGATGATGAGATTAGAATCAAATTGAAGTTTGAAGCTCCAAATCACCACATAGGGATGTCTTCATCACTTTCTCTCTCTACCAACCGCTTTCCACTTTCTCACTCTAAAGTCAATAACTCAAATATGATTTCAGCTCCTAATCATAGTCAGAAGTGTCATGTTAGGGATTAAATGACCGATGAAGCAATCACTCTGACCGATAACATGAAGATAATCATAATAGAGGATCTAAGAATATTTTAAGTAGAGAAAAAAACTTTATAATTATGACCAATCTATGTACTCTGATCTTGTGACGGGAAATTATATACATGTATGCAACCACTTCAAAGAAAAAGACTAAAAACATAGGAGTCGGAGAAATTGTGAAGCTTCTAACCATCGTCATCGAGAGAGTGAGAGATAGAGAGGTTGCCGATAGATTTGATTATTGCCAGTCATAGGAAGTGGGACTGGTGGTGATGGCAGCACTAGTGGAGGTGGAGAGGAGAGCATAAACTGATGAGAGTGAGTGAGAACCCACTGCTACCATCTCTAATTATCACATTTATTTTGGTCTAACCATTAATAATAATCGACTTTACCAAATGATACACTGTCAAGAAGAAATTTGATATATACTGTAAGTTCACAATTGAACAACTAAATAATAAAATAATATTACGATCCGTAGCAGAGCGCGAGTGTTTTTCTAGTAAGCGTATAAATTCTATGTTTATCATTTAAACACACGAAGAATCATATTCTTCTAAGTGAGTGTGGTGAAGAAGAAAATATGTGATTGTTGCAGTACATGTTTATTGAAATGTCAACCACAGTGTCAGGTCGATGGACCTCTTTAGGGCACAATGTCGACAACATTGGTTTAACATATGCATTCTCAATCCGTCGGCCTTTACTTTGAGAGGCTGATCAGTTAGTTCATATCATAATTTGCACAGTTTAATTTGGTGTTTTGATTTGCTTCTCCTAATGTCAGGTCGACCACTCTCTCGAATCGATCAACCTCTTTGGACAAAATGGTAGACATCTTCGTTGATATGGTCGATATTTTTGGATAAAATGATCTACCTTTTTGCTAGGGATGGCAACAAAACCCGAACTCACGGGTACCCACCCGACCCAACCCGGTCAATGCGGGTAAAACCCGTATTGACGGGTTTTGGGCCGGGTTTGGGTTTAAACCCGCTACACTATTCACCGGGTCGGGTTGGGTTTGGGTTTAGGTAAACCCGCCCCATGGGTACCCTCCCACACACATATAATTACTTTCCCGGTATATTTAATATTCTAAATAATATATCTTCCTTAAACAACTAATATTCTTTATGTTTGTGGAGACATGTATAATTTGTTCTTTCTAATTGTTTAGAATGAAGTTGATATTATGAAGTGGAGAGTGAAGAAACTTAGTTGACGAGGAAGAAGGTTTCAATTAATCTTATTGTTTATAGATGTTTATCTTTAATTTTGAACAATTTGTATTGATCATTTGCGGTTTGCTTGTATGCTCTAGATTGGTGTTTTTTGTATGAATAATTTGTATGAGAAAATTGATGTTAAACTTTTATTTTGAAAGAAACATGTTATTGTAAATTTTTTACCATAAAACCCACGGGTATCCATGAACCCGCGGATACCCGACGGGTTGGGTTGGGTTTGAGTTTTTCAAACCCAGCGGGGTTTACCCCGGGTTTTTTTGGCGGAGAAACCCATAGGTTTGGGTTTGGGTTTGACAAAACCCGCCCCAACCCAACCCATTGCCATCCCTACTTTTTGCTGATATGGTCAACCTCTTTGTTGGAATAGTCGATCTTTCTGCTTGTGAGTCCCTCACAAATGACTGATCAATGTAGGTAAATGATCGACCGTAATTTTTATTAGAATGGACATATTGATGTAAGTGATCAACCATAATTTTTTCCGATCAAACCATTTTTTTCAAGTCATCATAACTTGCAAATCACTGTATGCATACCCTCAAATATATTCCAAGAATGAATGATTAAAAATGATTTAGTACGGTGATAAACTAACATTTTATCACCTTATCTTCTCTCGGAAGCCGTTAAACGCTAAAAAAAAGGACGCGAAGCTGAAGTTGACCGTTCTGGATCAAGCTTCAATTCCATTCCACTCTCTCACTCCTCCAAAGCTCCGCTCACTTTCGCCATGGCTCCTCCAAAGCGTCACCCCACCGTTCTTCTACTATGCGGCGATTACGTGGAAGATTCCGAGGTAAATTCTCCCGATTAAAGCATTATCCATGTTCTTTAAGTTCCACCAAATGTCGCCGATGATGATTAGTTCGTTGGATTCTGCGTTTCTCTGCGTCTGATGATTCTTGTTTACCAGGCCATGGTTCCTTTTCAAGCTCTACAAGCTTTCGGAATCACAGTTCATGCCGTCTGTCCGGGCAAGAAGGCCGGCGAGTTTTGCCGAACTGCCGTCCATGAGCTCGGTAGTCATCAGGTTCCCTTCCCCACGACCTCTCTCGCTCCTTTCTTATTGTTTAATAGCTTGGTATGAGAGGCTAAAAGATTCATAAGAAGGGACGGAAGCTACGTATTCGTTGAGTTTTAGCTTGTGATCCTAACTTCCCCCGTAACTGCTGTAGCTATTGTTGCTATTGGGGATATCTTGTGTTGATTGCAAGAGCAGCGCCTGCAACGCAATAAGCAATTGGTTGAAACAAGCAGTATTTTTTAGGTTTCACTTGTGTAATCGTTTCTGTGACCGAGGTAAACCTCAACCTGGTACTGGTAAGGTGAATTGGGTGTTGTAGTGGGCTAGTGGCTACTGTATCAT